AAGTTGTGGATGCGTATGGGAGAGAGATAAAAGGTGAGGATGAGAGAGACAATCCACGCTGACGCTGATATTTTATGGACAACAGTAACCCTGCCCTCATGGTTCTGCTCTACTAATGAATTGGTTTTACCCTGTTTGGGAGCAAATTACCCCGCCCTCCCCTCCTAATTTTCCAATTTGCCATGTCATTTGGATGTAATTTGGAATTGCAACTGGGCCATATTACTCCCTCAGATAGGGTGCTGTAGTTTATTGAAATGCAGTTAGCGAAACGTGGGCGGGGGGGGAGAATAAACATCGGCTGCAGACCTGAGTGAAGATTCATCAGTATTGTCCAGCAAGATGCAGCATGTGACCGCATGGTCTTTAACAATGTCACAGAGAGCAGACATTGCTGCACCTGTGACACGCTCCCTCCGTGTCCTGAGAGGTGGCGATTGCTTATCAGGTTTACACAGGTACTTCAAGCTTCTCTGTCTTTGCAGTCTTGATTTCTAACTGAAAGCCAGACCCTACAAACAAAGCCGATTTGATGGCCCGCAGTTCGCCACATCGACCAGCGGTGGCTCCATTAACTGTGCTCGATGTGTGTGGCGTGCTTGTCATCTGTGACAAGCCGGTGGTATTAAACATTCTAATAATCTGCCTATCACTGGACACCATTTCATCTGTAAAATGAAAAGAAACGTGCTAAATGTCCGTGGCCAAGAGGCAGAACGCATTAACCTCCTCTGATCCCAGAGACAGGTGGCTGTTCTCGTTGCCGACTTCAGATCTGTTTTGTTTTGGCAGCAGATGTCTGTCCCCCCGTCCCGCCCCTCCCTTTCCCTGTGACCACCGCCAGGGTTCCTAGCAACAGAGAGGCAGCCCATCAAAATGCCATTAGGCCCTGGTGCCAACAGACCCAGGCACACTGAGGAGGACCCAGACCAGCCCCCTCCGCCAGCCCAGGTCCACTGGCACCACCCTGTCAAACGATCACAACCCACAGTGAAATTTTCACATACAACTTGTGACACACCACTCCGAACAACCGCCGTCAGGCTAGCAGTAGCGACAGGGGGAGGGGCCACAGCAGAACAACCAACAGGGACCCCGTGAATAAATCGATTACACCATGTTTGACGGATGGGGTTTTTAGGGGGACGGGACACGCCAGAGAATTAATTTGGCTGCTGAAAAATCCCTGTCAGCCTCATCCATCCAGACTCAATTCCAGTGATCTCCAGGATCCAGGGACATAATTAGGGGCATTTTTTTTTATTTTCACAACCATCTTCTGGAGTAATGATGCATGTAAGGCAAACATGGGACCGATGTGTCAGATGGGAAGGCAGATGATGAGAGAGAAAGATTATGGAAGAAGTGCGACCGGAACAGACTACTGTGGAGTCAGGGGGAGACGCAGGAGCCGGGCCCTCCCAGGACTGAGAAGGCTGGCAGAGTGAACCAGAGATGGATCTCAATGGGGTTTTGTGTCTGGAGATATAGAGTAGAAAGCACATACAGTACATCTGTTGGCAGGGTGGCATGTTGGCTCAGTAGCACTGAGGTCTAACACCTCCGGGGGCTGAATCCAAAGACATGCAGTTAGGCTCACTGGTCTCTCTAAATTGCCCGTAGTGTATGGTTGGCGAACGGTTCCCCACAAACCTCCCCCCCAATCCCACTGGGACTATGACCGACATAAGTGCCTGGAAGATGAATGGACAGGTTCACCTGTATGACCATAGTAAACATTTACTTAAGATAGTGAGCTTCCCTCGTTCACACTTTTCAGAGGAACCAGTCTTACTGGGAGAACTTCCAGCTGTTTGGAATATAAGCAAGATATTACCACTCTGGGACCGACCTACCTTTACAGAGTTGTTTTGTAAATCTAAAAGTAAAGGACTTAGAATTTGTCGAACCAACAAATTTGAGAAGTGGACAATAGCCTCCTGTACCATTTCAATGGTGTAGCCCCTCCCTTCCTGCTGCTAAAGCATAAACAGAGTGAAAATAAAGGACATAACTGTCATACATGTACAATAAAGGTTTGATGAAAGAGAAATGGATGAAGGATGTGCTGGAACTGGAATGCAGTAACAAGACCAGAGCGAGACCAGTCACTGGCGCTAACATCTGTCTGTCCTCCCCTGTAAGAATGTTGGACTAGAAATCCCCATGATATGACTGTGGGTATCTGTGCGTCTCCATCAGAAGTCACAGTTACCACCGACCCATGACAGTCAGAGCACGCAGCCATATTTCCCCTCCAAGCCCCTCAGAAACTCCTCAACAAGTTTAACAAGTATGCCAATTAGATAGTTAGCAGGTTTCCCCAGCTCTGGGGGTCAGGTAAAAATGCGATGAGAACAAGTCTATCTCAAAAACAGGCAGTCACACACAGACATGGCTGACAAGGGTAGAAACATGGACAGGAACATAGAAAGAGATTATTTGGCATGGATTTCAAAGCTAATGACCCGAGTCAGCTATGTTAGTGTGCAGTTTGGTAGCCCACTCTTCTGAAAAGCACCAAGTCAGGAAAAACAGTATTATTAATCAGGAGACTTTATACCCAACAGGAGCTGGGTCAAGGAGGGCTTTTTGGAGGAACTATGATACATATTGTAGTGCAAAGTCTCACATTGCCCCCTGCTGGAGAATTTTGGGCATAAAGAGGCTCAGACCTCCCACAAAACCATGGAATTTCATGTAGGCATGTAAAGAAAGAGTATAAATCAGATCACTGAAATGGGGGTAGATTTTCTACATGATGTCACTGTCAGCCACTTCTACAGTGGCCTTCCAATGAGTAAACATTCTGTATCTATACTACCAAGCTAGGTAACTTCCAAATGAACGGAATGGCTTTAATGAATACCAAAAGCCACACACACTCACTCCTGGTCTTGAAGGACTGCAGTTTGTCAAGCGTCCAACAAAAAGTAATGGATAGAACAAATCAAGTGTTCTCTCTCAGTATTGAGTTAAAGCCAGTGGTGGAAATTTCAGGTCCAGAAAGTAAAAATCCAGACCAAGATTTTGTTTCAATCCACCAGTTTGTTTCAATACTCCGTGACTGACTCTTTATATTCAACTAGTTGGTTGAAACTAAACCTTGGTCTGGATTTACTTTCTGGACCTGGAACGGTCACCTCTGGTTAAAGCAGAGGTGAGCTCTGCATGGGCTGGAGCCGCGGCCCTTCCGAAATGAGGTGCCAGTCCTGCTTTAACATGGGCAGCTCAATGGACCTAAACCCACACAACTAACAAGACCCTTTATCCAGATAAGCTTTTACTTAATTGTAATTGAGAAATTGAAGTTGGACAAGTGTAACGAAAGCTAGAACAAGTTGTTCTACCCCGACTTAAGTAGGAATTCACTATGCATTACAATAAGCCTTTCGGCTGGTTAACTTTGATAAACGTGTCAAGATTGCAGTATTGCACTTGGCTCCCAAACCTCTCCTCAGGAACATACATTTATTATATATACATATTTGTTTTCTGCCACTAGCAGATCTTCTGATTTACTGATTAGCTATGATGGTGGCAGATCAGAGAGCATTCAGGGAACAGCTGAGTGTATGCAAGGAAATTGCTGCTGGTAGACAGTTCAAATTTTCCATCAATGTGTGTGAAAAAGCCATTTGCCTCAGCCTACGGCCCATTATGACATACTCACCCATCTGGATTTCAGCACAGCACTGTCTGACCTGGAAGCACTGACTGCCCAGGCCTGCTCCAGCACCTCAAATGCATTTTTAATTCCTGCACTTTTTATCTCGTGCTCAGGCATTTGGGACTCCTACTTCTAAAGTAGGAAGAAGCCAAGCATGACGGAGCTACCCGTCCAACCTGCACACCCCTGCAAAGCAAATGGAAGAACTCATCGCCTCCGGCAGCATGCCCCAATGTACAGGGATGCAAAATTAATCCAGAAAACTTGGTAACCCTCTTCCTAGAAATTGAATTCCAGGTTAAAAAACATCAACCCAACTTGCAAAGCAGTGGCATGGGGCTTGTGGAGTATGGGACGGTTCCAAAAACGTGGAAACAGGGATTACGCCTGTATGCTCAGCATGGGCCATTAACGGGATGTCGGAGAAGCAGAACGCGAGAGCACGAAAGCTGTTTGGGCTTCATTTCATGCCACCTCGATGCCGCTGGCAGGATTTCTGCCCTGAGACGAGTACCCGGAAGCCCTAGCGGGGGCTAAACACTGGTGTAGAGCAGACCCGAACCGCTGCAGAACCAGCCGTCTGAAGTAATACATTCATTTCATGGGGTTCAGAGGCTAGTACCAGTGGCACAGTATGAGTATTTTGCATTCAAGTTTTCCCATTTAAATAAATCTAAAAGAAGACTGTCACTGGCATACCAGTAACAAATAAGCCACATGATAGCACATGATCGTCATGCGACACACAAAAGCCCGCTTTGCTGATAAGTGCTGGATAAAGCAAAATGCACCTGCAACAGGGGAGCAAAACTACAACGCGAAGGTCACCTCCTACAGAGCATGCCTGTATCAAGGATAGTCACTCTCATGCCTAATTTGATCACCAGTTTGCGTCCCATCACACGTGGACCAACCTGTGCCGTTTTCCAGGCTTGGCTATCCAAATAAATAGTTATCCATTTCGTCTACTAATTAGACCAGGCCATTTGGAGAATACTCATTTAGGTGCTATTTAGACTGAGACCACTTTTGATTACATGTATCCCTCAAATGAAATTATAATAAAAACATATTTCAACTGCATGTTAGTTAATCACTCACAGCTATAACTGACCCTAACCTTAAATAAAAAGACACACAAAAAAAATGCTATAATTTCATTAAGTAATTTAGCCAAATCTAAGCATGCACCACAGCAGATATTGCAACCCCAATAACGGTGGGTCCCTTTGTCAAATCTAAGCTGCTTGCTAACAGAGACCCTAACCTTAAAAAAGGTCAACTAAGCATATTACGCTAAAGAAGAGGGGGGGGAAAAAAACCAAACTACTCAACCTGAGCCAAACTTTAATGCATATCTTACTCCAGAATGAGAAGTTTCAGCACCAGGCTAGTACAGTCAAATAAATGAGTTAAATGGGTAAATTATTTCAAGCTCAACATTTAAAATATATCAGTGGTCCTCAACCATACCTGTAAGAGAGCCCGGCCATTGCAAATACTTCCTTCCTTGCACCACTAACAAAACTTTTTTCAAAGAGTTGACAAAGAGCTAATTTGCTGAATTTGGTGGAGAATGGGCCACGGAATGGCTGAAAACCATCAATCTGTCCATCTGTACAAAGAGCATGGGGGCCACTGGGACCAGGCGTGTCACTTCGCCGTTCCACACAGAGATGTAAGGCGGTTCTACAAGAAAATTAAACAAAAAGAATTAGTATGATGTGCCAAGTCATCTGTGACTCTCACTTTAAAGAGATCTGTGGCCTAAAGGTGCACCTGTAACAATCTGATGCTCTTCACAGCTGCTTCATCCAGCTGACTCAGGTCCATAGTATCCATCTCACTGGCCAACAGCTGAAGGCTCTGCAAACAGTGGAGCAGTGTGAAGAGCAGAGCTTCAAATGTGTGGAAAGGTGAGGCCAAACATAGGCTGAAGCCCTACCTCTCCATTCCCAGTGGGAACGTTGATAATGATGTCATTATTGCCACCGGCAAGAGGGGAGCCGTTGACTGAGATGCTGTAGACCTTCTCCTTGTGCCGGGGAAGCCTCACCCCTGGAGTTTTAGGAAGTCTGGGGGGTGGTTTTGGAAAAAAACTCCCTTATAATTGCATACAACAGATATCAACAAACTTGTGCAAACTGACACACGAGGCCTATCAGTTTACCCATTACTTACAAGCTTGTAAATAATGCACCATGACATTCAAGTGAAGCAGTGCTGCTCTCATACTTCCCCAGGCAAACCAGTATTTAATACCACTGCACCACAACAACCCCCCCCCACCTGGAGTCAAAGCGTGGGGTGATAGATGGGGTGGGTCCAATCAGAGAACATTCCAGAATGCTGCGAGCCGGCGTCACTAGCGGCCTCCTGCTGGACCTAAGAATATTGGCAACATGCAGAGTTTACACAACAACAAAGTATTTAAAAGGGGTTAATTACATACATCCAAAGTAAAATGGCCAAAAAACTCCAGAAACCAGGATAGTGGCGTGTAGTGATATCTTACTTTCTAATAGAGTTATTCTGCTTGCTGACCGAGAGGGCTTTGGCTCTCTTGGAAGTTGAGGGGGCCTTTCTCGTAGACTTTCCCTGTAGCAGGGTAGGAGACAGGGCAACAAATCTTTAAGACCAAGTTTTAAAATCCTTTACTTCAGGGACTGCTATACTAAAAACAGGACATTTCTGTGAAAATTACCCTACTGACAATCCAGTGTTCCTTCATGGTCTTACCTTCTTTAAGGTGGACTGGTCAAGGGTAATGTTCTCCACATCCTCCAAGTGAGCTCTGGAGCCACCTGGCTTCCGTACCGCTGGACAGGGACACAGACAGTACGTGAAGAAGCAGCTGAGTGGAGCGTGGCACGGCCGGTTACTGTAGGGAGGTCAACCGGTGCCGGTCACCTCTGCTGACACACGGGACTAACCTTTCCTGGCAGGCTTTGCTGGGATGGTGTGAACTTCATTCAGGACAGTATCCACCTGAGTGGCGACCTCCTCCTTCTGCAGAGGTGGGCAAAGAGTCAATAAAGAAGCAGATGACACAAAGTACTTCAGTGAACAAAAATACTGCCAAATACCTACATAATAATATTAAGTTTAAACAACTGAAGGCTACATAAGCTGGATAAATTTTCATCAGAAAAACGATCCCATACAAAAAGCTGATTGATGCATTGCAACACATACCTTAGCATCCTCTACTGGTGTCTTCTGTGCCTCAGAACCTGGAGAACAACACTGATTACACACAAATTTAACCCCCAGGTATACAGATGAATAGCAACACGCAAAATACACATTCTAGTTCTACAGTACAGGAAGCTCATTGCTCATGGATGATACAGCAGCTGGCATAGGCAGCTTTAAATGTCCAAACGATCATAAAAAGACAATGGGCACCTACCACAGAACGCAATCCAGTTCATCTGCCGCACAGCCAGTGGCAGCTTGATCAGAGACACGCTGTAAAAGTTGTCTACATCTTTCATAAAGCTGTTGGTCTTCTCCTTGAGTCTCTCCACGATAGCCTTTACTGCAAGACAGCAGGCGATGTTGTAAATGTTGGGAGAGGGTTGCTGAAAAACTTGGACTGACTGAAGCAGCTGATATGTTTACAAAAATATCTCAGGTAAATGAGATTTTGAACAATTAATCTGAATGGTCGGTTTTGGACCGCAGTTAAGCTAAACCAAATATCGAATATGAGGCTTTTGGCTTTAATAATTTCTTAACGGAAGGTATGAAGTTTTTAATGTCAGAAATGTTATGTCCATTACACAGACAATGATGCACACCAAATATTTTTGCGGTTTGAGCCATTCTATAATTTGTGCAAAATCTTGACAATAGCTTTATAAGAAAATGGGTCATTTCGGCTGTACCGAGATATTGGTTTAATATGATAGGTCTAAAACTGAACAAGATAGGCACATCTAACTAAGTGTGCATTGATCAGTGGACTCTGGGGAACAATGCACACACCTTCTTTGTCTATTGTAGTTCTTAATTATTATATTGTATCCATATATGCAATGGGGCAACACACTAATGGATTAATAGTGCTAAAACAAAATGAAACAGGCACATCTAGACAAGACACATGTAGTTAAGTGTGGTTTGATCAGTGGACTGATCAATGTGCGCCCCTTGGATCGTCAGTTTAACTTTGTCTATAATAGTTATTTTGATATTGTACCCATATAATATACCATTGGGGCAATACATGAAATTCAGTGGGTGTGCATTGTCCCCCAGCATTTATTGATCAAAGCACATTTCACAGGACATGTCAGCCTCATAATAATATTAATAATAGATACTTTATTGATCCCCTTGGGGAAATCGTCTTTACGCCTACCTCAACTTGCTCTGTGTAGACTGTAGAGTAAGCTGTCCATGAAGGGACATTATATGGATACAATGTAATAATTAATACCTATTACAGAGAAAATTAACCTGAAAATCCAAGGGGCGCACATTCAACAGTCCACTGATTAAACTACACGTAACTAGATTTGCCTGTCTTGTCTAGCTTTAAAGTTATTAACCAATTCGTGTATTGTCCAATATATGGATGCGAACACCGAAAAAACAATTTCGCCAGTAAAGAAATCTGGAAAAACACGGGGTGTGCAAAAGTTGCCATGAACACAAAATGGTAAACCAATACATCGCTACAGCTGAAATGACCCATTTTCTTAGCTATTAGCAAGATGTTGCAGAAATTAAATGGTTCGAACTGCAAAAATAATTGGTGTACATCGTTGTCTGTGTAATGGACATCGCAATTCTGCCATTAAAAACTTCCTACCTTACCTCCGTTAAGTTATTAAAGCCGGAAAAGCGAGTATTGAATAAAAGGGTAACTTAACCGCGGCCACTTACCGTTGAGCGACGTTATTTCTACTTATAACCACTCTACCCATAATCTTCGTCATACACGAGCAGCGTAACACTATTTAATCTAGAGTGGAAATCAGCATACAACCGATGCAGTCACGTTACCTTCAAGGTCAAAATCGTTGAGGAAGGCTTCCAGTTTCGCAGTTTTGGGGTCGTTTTTACGACCTTTGTTAGTGGTTCTTTTCCGTGGTGCCATGACTGTAGTCGTAGGTCTGTGTAAAAACAATGTGCGAGAAGTGTAATTTACAGGCTACAAATAATTTATGAAAGAAAACCCTGAATTTGGTTTAAGTACCTATGTCCAGTTTAAACAGCGTATCCTTTGAATCAGTTTTAAATCTCAAATTGGACTGACTGAAGTTCTCGGCTTGCTAAAAAGAGCTGAAATGGCTACCAAGCTAAATAATTATAAACCATTTTGACGCAACTGACCATTTTATTTGATGAGTTAATTTACATTGACAAATTTAAAAGCCGGTCGTTATATTTTGCATTTCTCAGTAAGAATTCTCATATACTCATCATAACATAAGAATGTCGAGCTAGTTAGCAAGCAAGTAAAATATATGGCTGCCCTAGAAAAGACTTCATCGGTGACAATATTAAAATTACTATCGTCACAAAAACTACATACGTAGTTACTCATTCAATGGTTAAATAGTACATCGGTTGCGCGTATGATCCACGTTACGATTTACAAAACACTTACTTCTCCAGGTATATTTTAATAAATCAATCGCAATTCCCCGGCCAGATGTCGTTTTCTCCTATAGAGGATATGGCTATTTTCAAATGTAACCGCTCCGCTGTATAACAGCCAATGAGAGTCCTCCGTATCGTGACAACACGCCATGCGCCTCCATCTACCAATTAGATCGAGAAGAGAAAAGGCGTGTTCAAAATGTTCAACCAATTGAAAAAAATAAGACACGTACAGAGCGACCAATAGAAGGCAAAGGTTTCAGTACTTGCACCGGAAGTAAATCTTTGTAAACATCGTGCGCTGTTCTGTGACTGTGGTAAAATGTGATATTGGTTACTGAAACTTACTTTATTATACTTGAATTATAGTTTAAGAGCAAGACAGCTTTCCAAAATGTATTACCAATGCTGTTAAGCTGGCTAACATAAACGAAAAGCCTGGAGTGGAGCTTCGATTTTTGAAACTATTGATGGGTTTTGGTCTTCTACATTCAGCGTTTTCGGCGAAATTCAGATATGTCGAAATCTGAGTTTTTGTCACTTCACCAGGCACTGAAAAGGTCCTTTCAGAACCTGGAGCAAAACCAGAAGTTGTGGAATGGTATGTTAGCTGAGTGCTCGCCTTTAATGGTTTCCCTTGGTAACCTGGCAGAGCAGCTTCACGCGCTTCAGAACGTGCAGTTAGAGCGAACGCCCCTGAAAGGCTTCCCCGACCTCCGCGAAAGGCTCCGCTTCAAGCTGCTTCAGGCCGTGGACACGGTGATGGAGAAACTCTACGAGAAGATGTAAGGGGTCTGTCTGTGAAACTCAGCAGAAGTTTCTCTGAACAAGTGCGGTGAATTTTGCAAGTTGTTCCACTCATGTAAAGGAATTCAAGGGAATTACAGAAGCAGAAAACCCACTTTGGTATTATGAATAGAGCTAGAAATGTTCAAATTAGACCTCTGTGAAGAGTAGTGATTTAATGCGTACATTACACATGACAGTATTGTCATTACCCTTTTTGGCTAGATCTTGGCAATTTAAATGACCACTAAACATAAAAACATATTCTTCCATCCTCAGATATCCTTTGTATTGCAGGTTTGTTGTGTTTTGTGATATATTGAAATCTCAGCACAATGTTATTGATCGACTGCTGCGTTGATTACTGTCTGATATATTTCTCTCCTTAAGCCACAGTTATTGTGACGTTAGGTACATGAATTATTCAGTCAACGATCATTTGCTTATAAATACCGAAGTAGTGCATCCTGCGTAACAACAAGATTTTTAAAAGTGGATCACTGCTATCAAATTTAAGTTCTTTAAAAAAATCATTATATAACAACATCGTGAACTACTGACACCTCTTTGCACCTGTTGCCATCTATGACACTGCTTATAGTAGTAATCTTAGGAAATGTTAACACAGCCAGTGACTGAGTGCTGTATCTGCATTCACAGGGCTGCTTTGCAGGCAGTGCGCGACGCAGTCAGCAACCAGGCCGCAGCTGTATTCCAGCTGTACACCCAACATGCCGATGCCCTCGACATGGCCACCTGTCTTCAGCGGTCAGCCACCTGCCCATCTGTGGCAGACATGCTGGAATGGCTGCAGGACGCAGAGCGCCACTATCAGTGGGAGTATCCTCTCGGTGTGATTCAGCCCTGGGCTCGCTGTGTTGTTAATGTCTCCAGGTTATTGTGGGTTATCTTTCATCACTGGTGTCACCTAACAGTGATGTTAATTAACCATGATATCAGCTCTGATTTATTTCTGCATCCCGTTAAAAACTTGTGCAGTGTTTCCATAGTGAGGTTATGGCCATGTTTTTTCCATTTGAGCAGGATTGAGAATTTAGGCGCCCGATGACATAATTCCTGCAAGTGACATTACACAGCAGCAGTGAATGTGCACATGGATCTGAATTAGGCAAAGAATAAGAAACTATAAACGATTAGTAGGTTAGGTGGTTGTTTCCTGTGTGTGCATGCGAGGTTCCTCCTTTAGCTCTGGTACAGACTCCTCAAGAGAAAGGCCCTGCTTCAGATGCTGAAGCCAGGTGACCTTGCTTACTTGCAGACCTCACCCAAGAGGTGGGAGTCCCTGTCCAATCGCGGGAGAGATGACATCATCACAGGTGAGGCCTAGTGGGGTTCTGCAGCTCCTTTGATGTTGGAGGTGTATTCCAACAGCTTAGCTTGTCACTTGTCCACCTTGATTTCAGAGACGCTGTGCAGAGTGGCGCTGTTTAGGGAATCCCAGTGAAATGGGCACATGAGGAGTAGACCGCCAGCCTGGAGGATTCGCCTGCTTGTCAGGTTGCAGTTGAGGACGACCTCGTCTGCCAGCCCCTCCAAGATGGATGGAGCCATGACCAAATGTGAGAGGATATGCTGTGGGCAAACTGAATTTCAGACATCAGCGTTATGGCTATCTGCTAAAGTGTGTTGGTTTAGCAGCTCTGTACTCTTCAGTGGACAGCCCAGATCATGTTTTTGGTCTGACACAGATTAATCTTTTGTGTATAGACAGCTTCCCTAGAAAGCCCCTGGATAAAATCATACTGAAATCAATACCGATTTTAGCTCAACCTGAGCTATAGCAACGGTTTTAGCTACATAATGAAAATAAAGTACCAGTTAAGCGTGCTGTTCTTTATTTTTCTTCTCTTGTGCCTCTGATGAGTATGGGCTTGAGGTTTTTTAGGTGTCTGGTTTTCCTTGTCTCTAGAGTGTGTTATTTACTATAAAAAACTAACTTAGCACAAAATGGTGACGAGCTTACACTACTCTACACAGGACATGATTTCGTTAAACCAATTAGTAAAGTACTAAGTGTAAAACTATAAGGCTCAAAACTTTGGCAGTTTAATCAATGAGGGGGAGAAAATTCGTAGGAATCATCCATAATAGAAAATAAGTTGAGGAAAACTGATTTTTCACAAATTGGTTTATTTTCCATTTGAAATCCTTATTTTCTACATGCCAGTAGGCAACACTTGTGAAGGCAGGCAGAGCACTGGGGTAAACTGAGAACACATCACGCTTCGCTGGCAGCCCAAAGGTCACACTGCTAGGTAGTATTTCTAGAATGATCTGGTTACAAACAGCTTGTGGACCAGGTACTTTACCCATTGTGTGTTCAGTGGCATGTTCCCGCTCCTCCAAACGTAACACGCCCTAATGAAAGCAGGTGTTTACAGAAAGTCAGGCTCCGTTTCCCTTTGCTGTGAAAACTTGCAGGGTCATTGATACAGAAGCCACAGAACCTCCTATAAAGACACCAAACGAACGTGGGCTCCCCCAAGAAGCATTAGGTTACATTCTGAGGCGAACGTGGGAGCTTCGTATAACCTCCTGTCTAGATACGCTGCATTATGTCTGTCCACAAGCCAACATCATCAACAAAAAAAACCTCCACATACTGAAATAAAACAAAAGTCAACATCTCAAATCAACAAATATACAGACAAATTAGAGATCTGAAGTAGAGTGAAAAATAGCTGCACCGTAGGAGACGATGATGACACAATATCATCTGTGACAGAAAACCTCCAGCGCTGTCGGGCGCCTCGCTGCAGCCGTACACGCCTCTGCCGAGGCTCAGACATACTCCTTCACGGGCTGCGTGCTGTTGGAGATGGGCTTGGGCGGATCCGTGGGCCGGCCTGCAGCGTAATCGCGACCCTCGTAACCGCGTCGGTAGCCTCGGTCAGGGTGCGGACACGAGCTGCTCAGCACGGCGCCGCTTAGTATGAGCATGACGGCGGCAGCCCAGCCCAGGTAGATGGCCTGGCCCAGCTCACGCTTGTGCACCAGTGGCACCGCAGGGTTGTAGAAGTCCCGTACCACATTGTTGGCGGCCCAGGAGACGGGCACCAGCACGCAGAGGCCCGTGACGATGAACAGGATGCCGCCCGTCAGAGCAATGCTGGCCTTCACGTTGCGGTCCTCGCCGGCACAGGTCGTACACTTCAGGCCACAGCAGGTGACGGTGCAGGACAGCCAGCCCAGGAAGATGGCGATGCACATGAGGGCCCGTGCAGCCTGGATATCTGACGGCAGTGCCAGCATGGAGTCGTATGTCTTGCACTGCATGTGACCCGTGGTCTGGTAGATACAGTTCATCCAGATGCCTTCCCACACTATCTCCGAGGTCAGGATGTTGCTTCCGATGAAGGCGGTGACCTTCCACTGGGGCAGTGCCGTCACGGCGATCGCCATGATCCAGCCCGCCACCGCACAAGTGAAGCAGATCAGCTGCAGGCCGGTGTTCACCATGGCAACATCTACACCTGCTCCACCACCTAAGCCCTGATGGTCACCACCACCTCTTCACCCCCTCTGTCTCCCCAGTTCTTGTCTCCCAAGATCTGTTCCAGTCCTCTCCCTCCTCCACTGTTCCTCCACGTTATCCCGTCTGTAACTTCTTTTATCTCCTGTTTTTCTTGTCAGTCTGTCAGTCCACTCTAGAGAAGCTCAACCTCTTCGCTCTTCTGTTGTCCCAGGAACCTTCGCTCACTGCCTCCAACTCTCTACTCTCTCTCTCCCTGCTCATGTCACTGTCCCTTTTAATTATTGATGGACGCAGGGAAGCGAAGCAGCTTCTTTCCTACTCAGCAGCCCACTGGTTGAATTCATCGGGCTCTGCCGTACTGCATTATGGGATATGCAGCCTCTCTAGGACGGAAGTGCATCTCAGCTGCACCAAGAGGCCAGTTAATTTTGGTGCCGGTGGTATTACCCACCAAATTGTGGTGTAGGTTTACCCATGTGGATCAAGCAGATAACATCTGATACATTGGCCCTAACAGATCTCTCCAATACTGATCACATATCCTGATAAGAGGACAAGACTGGATCACAGCAAACAGGCAGAAGAGGAATATGGTTATCTAAAATATTTGCTGCAAATATGACAAATAATGAAAAAGAATAAATTAAAGAGTGAGTCTGCTGCTCAGTGCGCAATGGGCTCACTCCTACAGGGTTGCATCATGTTGAGGCTGCATTAACTCTGGAGGAGTGGCTGAGGGGCTTAGAGGGGGTAGGCATGGGGAAGGAGGAGGTGTGGGGGCTGGGCAGGGAGCCCCCCTCTCATAGGAAGACCTGGAAACATTTCAGACCAGTGTTTCTGAACCTAGTTCACGGGGACCCACGGACAGTCCATATTTTTGCTCCCTCCCAGCTCCCAAAAACGTGGACTGTCTGCAGGTCCCTGAGAACCAGATTGGGAAACACTGTTTTAGAGGGATGTGGGGTCATGTACTGGGAATTCCTTCCCAGCCCCTGTACTCTTGAGTGCCAAGAAACAGGCAGATGTAGTGACAAAGAGACAGAATGGCAGACTAGACAATGACTGAGGGGAGAGCTGTGTCTGGGGGTGCGACAGATAACGAAACAAGGCCCTCTCAGTGCACTTCTCTGTGACAACAGTGAGACAAAGACGCTGACATCCTCTTCATCATCAGAAGGCCAAACCAGACAAGCTTCCGCACACAATAAGCCATCCCTTCTCACTCTGATCCTTGTTCATATAGAAAAATCAAAGCATGTGCTTTTAAACCCTTTGAGAAAGCGTGACTTCAAACATCAAGTCTAACAATTTAAAGAAAGATGGGTTATAGTTTTGCTTGAACAATTCAGACCTACTGAGTGGAACCTTCTGCAATGGATTGTGGGACTGTTTGATGCCAGGAACCAGAAGGAAGCTGTTACTTTGGGTTTATTATGAAAAGAAGAAAATTGTCAATGTTGACCAAGTTTTTGAACTTTGAATTTACAAGAACGAAGGAGACTGAGAAAGAGCCACCTGTCATGTCTTGTGCAACGTCTCTTTCTCGATGAATTAAATATCATGGACATTGAATCTGGGGTTCATGTTGCCTCTGTGTGAAACGTCCTCTCCCTGACAACAGTGGTCATGACAACAAGGACGGGACACAGGAAATGAGCAAGAGGTGATGATAACAAAGGGGGGGAGGAGAGGTGGTGACAGCTAATGACAGAGTACCAGCGCCACTGTCTTGGTCTGTAGCACAAGGCAATAAGGAACATGCTATGAGGGTTTATTGCGGGGGAACAGCATGCGGCACAGTGTCTATGTAACAGTTGGTACACGATGTCAAAGTTAGAATTCATGTTACTGAGCAGGTCATATATCATTAGTCAGACAACTGTGAGGTAACTGTGTTTCTACTGAAGGAGCCAAAACAAAATCACTGCACACAGCGCCTCTGGGGCCACGCCCCTCAGTGTCTCTGGGGCCACGCCCCTCAGTGTCTCTGGGGCCACGCCCCTCGCTGCACCTCTGTAGCCACCATGCAATTGTTAGGCTTTAGTGCATCGGTCTCATCCATTCCATTCCATGCAGCACTGCCTGTACCTTCAGCTCCAGACAGCCCTGGCTCTCAAAGCTAGGCACCCTAACCTTTTAGCAAAGATATTTATTTTACGTTAACAATATTTAAGCAGATTGGCTCCAGCTTCCCAGCGACCCAGATGGTTAAAGCGGTATAGTTAATGGATGGATGAATATTTAAGCTACTTTTAAAGAAGTTCTTGGATATTTCCCTTATCAAATCTACCCCTCGGGATGGATAAAGACCTCCACACACCCCAATGCGTGTCTCAAGCAAATTTATTATTTTACTTAAGCAACTAATGGCCCAGCTCGCCAACACTAGATGTCGCTGTAGTGGGACAAGATGAGGCAGAGCCCAGCTTCAAATCACCTGCCAGAAACCAGTGTGCCATCATGGGACCTTTTGGCAGTGGGGACTGAATCACTGACTTAAAAGTACACTGCTGCTTAAAGGCACCTTATTCAATGCAAACCTCAACACAGAATCCTTATGAGGAAAGCGAATCTAAAAGATGTCTCTTGCATTCTATCCTTCCAAGCATAGGCTCTAGACCAGTGTTTCTCAACCCAGTCCTCAGCGAACCCCAGCCAGTCCACGTTTTTGCTTCCTCTCAGCTCCCAGCGCACCTGTACCAGCTATTCAGTGTTCCTGATTGGCTGGGAGCTGGGAGGGAGCAAAAATGTTGACTGGCTGGGGTTCGCTGAGGACTGGGTTGAGAAACACTGCTCTAGACAAACTCATTCTGTCCATTGGAGCAGCGGTTCTTAATAAATGTGGACTATACAACAATCACATTAGATTCTCTACATATTTCAGACTACTGGGCATAGCTATAATAGCTGTGTACTTTGTATAAATTTTTAGTACATACCTTTCATTAAAAAAGAAAAATATTCAGCCTGCACTAGAACAGAGCTCTACCAAAAAGGACCAACAGTGACCTCTACTGCTTGATCAAGGGATGCAGCAAAGAGACGCAAACAATTCATTTGGTTACACAAGTATAAACTTTTCCTCCATTACAGTAAAGAGTATTCTGTAAACTTTGGCCTATCCCACAGTGAGCGCAATAAATATTTCATCCCACATAGGAGGCTACAGTGCAATTGAATAAGCACAATAAGAAATTCAGAAATGTTCTTACGTTTCTCATATTAATACAAAGCAAAAAAACAAGCTACTAACCCTAGATCTCACATTATGTTCTGGTGCCTCTCTCACTAGAAGGGAGATCACAGTGCCGACAGCTACATTCTTTTTCAAGGAACAATCAAATTTACCACGTGCATAAGATGCAGACAGTTCAACAGAAACACAGAACAGCACAGTATAGGCTTAAAAATACCAATTTATTACTTTTGCACAGTAACACAAATATTCCCTGCAGGCTAAAAAAAAAAAAAAAAAAATATTTAAAAATGTCACATAGCAAAGCAGCAACTGATTGGTCACCCTGGTGGGCGGGGCCACGGGATGGCCATCAATAGGTCAAAGGGGCCTTATATTGCTGTCAGACAGTCACACAGTTTGAGAACACTAGAAAAACAGCACAGAGCAACACACTGGTGTAAGAACAAATCAAAATACAATACACATTGTCAAAAAGTATAGCAAACGTTTCCGTTATATATAAAGAAGAGTTTAAAAAAAATAAATAAATCATGCGCTCTTGAAACTGGGGCACAGAAAATACAAGTAGAAGGTTTAAAAAGAGGTAAATTCCCCTTACTGCAGAGCCCATGGCGCCAGGCCCCAAAGCGCAGCTTAGCAGGGCCAGCAGAGGGCGCAGGAGAGCAACGGTGGCACTGCGCTCGAATTTTTCCGTTTACAAAAAAAAAAAAGGAAAAAAAAAAAACAAAACAAAAAAAAATAAACACACACACACACGCACACACACCGCCACCCTGGTGGTGAAAGGCTGGTCTTGGCGGTCCCTTGTGTGAAGAAAGTACCTCGTTTGAGCATGGGGGCGGACGCCAAGACCAGCGTTCCACTGCCGACAGCCTGTGCTGCTGGTACTTGCGAGACTGAACGATATATTGCCACCCTAACAGTCTCAAATTCATTAACATTTAATCATTAAAAATTGCGTCACTTAAATATTCTCTAAGTTTTAGGACAATACTCGGACATGCAGGAGAGCAGTTTTTCATTAAAAAAAAAAAAGAAAAAAAAAAAAACTTTAAAGTCTAAAGCGCTAAGCACATTCCCACTGATTGATACGAGCGAAGAAATAAAATACAAAACAAAAGAAAGAAACATACAGAAACACAGTCAGACCGTCAGCCACATCAAGGAAAAATAAAGACAGCTTCTCTTTAAACCCAGACTTGGTAATATTGCTTTCTGACAATTAGTGTGCTGAACTGGCATTGGGATCATCGTAATGCTCTTCAAAGAAGCTTGCTCAAAAAAAACACAAAACGGCCACCAAACCCAAACTCCCCCCAAAAATAGCTTCATTCGAACCCTCCCCTCTCAAACCACGCCCAACCCCACCAGCTGGACACTCAAAACTCATTCATAGCAAACCTGATGATTCAAAGATGGTTTATTACAAAAGGGTTTCCTCTGAGATGTCCACCTGGAGAGGTGTGTGCGCAATCCCCCCGCCCAGCCACGGAAGGGGGGGGGGGGTGTGTGTGTGTACACGCTGAGCGTTAGCTGGGGGCCCGTAGGCTAGTGCAGGGGCCTCCAACTCCGGTCCTGGAGAGCTGCTGTCCAGTCGGTTCTCTATCCTACTTGGCTTCTGGATCATAGCTCTCCAGGACCGGAGTTGGAGGCGGCTGCTTTAGGGGGCCACAGGGCTGCAGCGTTCCAATGCTACCGTCACTAAAGGCCAGCTATAACATAAGTACGCTGAATAGAGATCCTGAAGAGAGAAGCTTTCGAAAAATGTGATTGGCTGTCTGCTGATTCTTTTCCCCCGACTGACTTCTGATTGTCTTTGATACTCTGGTTCTGGCCCGTGGCGAAGATAGGCGTCACCGGCGAGGCGGGTTGGCCAGTCACCATGTGCCTCGGACACCTGGGAACCCCCCACCCCCCCCAGCCCGACGACACCAAAACATAGGAAACTCTCCAGAGCCTGAAACCAGAGGACAGTGCTGAGTCTTCACTGTATCATGAGGTTGCCTAAACACCCAAAGCTAAAACATGCCGTAAGGTCCACGCCCCCCCCCCCCCCCCCCCCCCCCCCCCCCCCCCCCGCCCCGCCCATAATGCTCACCGACTCGACTGCTGACGGTCTGAGAATCATGACATTGATAACGGCAACAACAACAACACTTACAGCAATCTACTCTAACATCAGTTAATATAGTCACAAAACGATTTATATTAAACTCTTACAAATCTGATTTTTTTTTATTTATAAATGCATAAAAGATAAAAGGAGAGTGCCTGTTATTTGTGTATCTGGCCGTGGCGGTCAGTGCTGGCAGAGGCGAAGACGGAGGAAGGAAAAAAAAAACAAAAAAAAACACACACAAAAATAAAATAAAAGTGGGTGCACTCCCCCAACCCAGCCAGCAGACAAACGTCTGCCTGGCCTGGACATGCCCCCAGGCCCCCCCCCACACGTGGGCGAGGGCCGACTGCTACACTGCTCCATTCCCATCCCGGCTTCAATAAGCATGTAAAATCTGTTTTAAATCTGCTTATACGGATGAATATATCTATATGATTTTCATATATATACGAAATAAACACATTAAATCTGAGGCATTTACAGCAGTTAACCCCTCAATCTCCCTTTACAATTCAGTGGCCTGCAATGGGACACACAGACAGTCACTCACACGCAGTCACTCCCACACACAGACGTACACACACGCTCACTGTCGACAGAACTGAAAGAATGAGAATACCCAGGTCACCTCGTTTGTAAAACATAAAAAAGTCTGAAAAAGTCAACTAAAAAAATAATCTTCCGACTCCCCCACACACATGCAAGCCCTCCCCCCACTAGTAATAGTATTGTTGTCAGCCTGTGCAGGCTTGAGGTAAAAAACAGAGAAGATTCCTGGCTGTAAGGATGAGAGTGGGCCGGCTAACCAGCCCTGAGCAACGAGCTCAGTGTATCTTACTAATCGAGAAGGGAAAAAAAAAAAAAAAAAAAAAAAAAAAATTGAAAATTAAAAGATATGAGGGAAAAAAAAAAAAATTCAATGGCTCAACAGGTTCTGCCTTTCTGTGCATCAGAAACCAACGGTCTCTCAGTGCAGCTGACAATCCTGGGTATGCTGGTAGAAGGCGGCTCAACTGGGACGGCCATCTTGACTAGACAGATGGCTCGATCCACTGGCTTCAGAACCGCTTTGGTGAAGAGAGAATGAAAGAGATGGAGGGAGAGAGAGAGACAGAAATACGCGGGGTGGTACAGAAAGAGAAAACGGGACGCCCCCTGGTGGCACATCAAGCAAAGTACATGGTGTGCTGGGTGTCATAGTGAATCTGGACGGCTTTAGCCAGAGCCTGGGGGTCACGGCCGTTACTCTGGCCCGAAACGTGGCTGCCCTCCGCGCTGTGGGAAGGAAGAGAAGGGGGCGTTACCGTTAGACAGCGATGCAGCAGTTCTCTCCAAAAACAGGTGTAGGATTCAGCAAGTTCAGTGCTACTTTCTTCCAGCTCCACATTACACCAGTTTGAGGAAGTATAGATTCAGAAGAAGTTCAATTTCAATTTATTTTTACATAGTGTCTTTCACAACAGAGTCGTCCCAAAGCGCTTTACGTGGATGTGTTGTGAAACATCAATAGAGAGAGTAATACAGAACGGAAAAAAGGAAGATAGGAAATTAAAGAAAGCCAGGTGACAATGGAGGAGAGGAACCAAAAACTCCCAAGTAAGGAGAAAAAAAAACCTCTGGGGCTCCAAGGTCAACTGGCTGCCCCTCCCAGGCCATACTAACATGATATAAACACAGATATAAAGTTATTATCCAACAACTACAGTCCTGGGGGCCTGGAACCAATTGGAAGGAACCAGGGAGGCAGGTGGCTGCGTACCTGTCGTGGTCCTTGTCTACCAGGTGGTACCGTGCGCGGAACGCAACAAGCCGGGCATAGTAGGCGGGCGCCGGGATGGAGACGGAGCGGGTACAGCGCACGTAGGTGTGGCACAGCTGGTAGGTGAGCAGCTGCAGCTCGTCGGCCGTGAAGCAGTTGTCGTCCCATAAGACGTGGTAGTGCGAGGGCCGGCTGGTGCCCTGCAGCGAGCGACAAACATGCCACGGCTTTATCCGTCGCTCGGGCAACAGGCAGTAAAGTGACCCGTCTGAAGGAGTGCACCTCCTATCACACACGCTTAGACCAGCATTTCTCAACCATGTCCTCGACATCTGAGAAACACTGACTTAGACGACCAACACTAAGACCAACTGAAGGAAGTATAACATTTTAAACACTAGAGGGCATTTTAGGAAAATTAAATAAAATGAAATAATGGCAGCCATGATGCTTTAGCTACACCCCAAATCCACGATGTGGGGGCTCACCTGAATGCCAGCGTGGCTACACAGATAGAAATCGAACTCAGACGGATGGGTGATGGTGCTGTCCACTGTGGTACCTGCCGGAACATTCCCACTCTTGCCCACCTACAGAGAAGGAGACAAGTGATGAGGGTGACTCAGGTAGATGGACGGTGGGACAGACAGGCGCCGAGCGTCAGGCTCACCCTCTCAGTCTTGTCTGAGCAGAAGAGTCGTGTGTGGTGCCGCTTCTGAACTACGATATAGGTGATTCCCGGCCGGTAATCCTCCTCCAGACTGATGCAAGCCTTCCGGATGGCAATGAGCTCAGGCCAAGCCACCTTCCGGGCAGGAGAAGCCGCGGGAGAGAGGGAGAACACGTGAGCAAGTCACAGGCCGACGACAGGCGGAGCGGGAAACCTGAGCCCGTCAGCTCAAGATCTTGATGAAAGATTAATACGAGACTACAGTTGACAGAACGACAGAAAGTGGAAAATCTGACAATGTCTTCTGGGGAGAGAGAGAGAGAGAGAGGGGAAAGAAAAAAAAACTACAAAACGCACCTGCTTCATCTGGCCCTCGGAGACGCCACCCCGATAGTAGATGATCCGCGTGGGCTTGAAGCGAGTGGACTTGTAGAATTGGATCAGCAGCTCACGCACCATGTTGGTCAGGTCCTGGATGACTTCCTGGCTGAAGAGCTGCTCCTGGGACAGGTCCTGGCGGGACGTCTGCACGCGCACCGTGGCACAGTAGCGGCTGGGATGGCCATCCATGCTGCCCACCACTGCCGCGATCGAAGGCTTCTTGCCGTCGCCGGCGGGGGGGTGTGTCACGTCTGCCCCCAGGAAGATGACCGGCTGCTGGAACACAGAGGGCCTGGAAGGGAAAGAGCATCAAGGCTGCAATGACTGCAGGTTCAAATCCAAGGGGAACCAACATTACCTGAAAGCGCCTCCTCCAGAGGCAGACGGGCACGCGGATAGGGACAGAGGCAGACGGGCACGCGGATAGGGACAGAGGCAGACGGACACGCGGATAGGGACAGAGGCGGACGGACACGCGGATAGGGACAGAGGCGGACGGACACGCGGATAGGGACAGAGGCGGACGGACAGACGGACACGCGGATAG